TAAGGAAAAAAATGAAAATTCATGAGTGCAAGAGCAGAGAGGGAGTTAGTGTTCAACGAGGTTGCGTGACCCTCTTACTGGTGGAACTTGTGAAATTAGGTAGGACTTGCCTAAAGGCTAGTGGCTTGCAAATGTCTAAGGCAGATGCACGAGGAAGATAGCTTTCTGTAAGTAGAGGTGTGTGTCATTTCAGAAATCTGTTAACTAAAACATAAAAGCTGGCAATTTAAACCTTTTCACTCTATTGGCATTATACTGGCCAACTCTGCCTTCCATTAGTAAAAAACACTAAATCATAAATATCAACCTATTTGAAATGCAGACACTTCAGACATATAGCATAAACATGGGACCTTTTATAACATAAACTACATTTTTTAGCCAATTTGTGATTTATAATACAATAAAAATTACTATGAAACATAGCTATATACCAAACCATTATGCACAACCCTAATAACTGTGCCTTAAAAGCCATTTTTCACTGATGGTTGTAAGTAAATACATTATAGTAGGACTAATGATGTTATGCACTAGGCCAATTTGTTTAAAGAAATGATGCAATAAAATACTATTTTGATTATTAAAACTGAAATAAATAGTCTTTATCTTACTCTATTTTATACATAAAACTTATCTCTGTCACCTCTATCTTTACACAACTCATCTCCTATTACAATATTACAAAATGAAATGCCAAAGCAATTACTTCAACAAAACAAACAAACAATGAATTCTATTCAAATCAATCTCTTACCTCTTTGCAGCATACAAATAATAGAAAACCACTGGTACCTTGTATCATTTCAAGGCACATATGACATACTAACTACAAGTTTGAAAAAATTATAATCCACATAAGGAAGAAAGGGAGTTCTACAGCAAAAATATTGAGAAAGAAACCAGTCTCAGCTTTCAGATAATATAGTTATTTTATTAGCTTCAGAAACTTGAAAACTTTTTAAAAACATGTGGAAAGTTGAATCCAACAGTTTGGACACTACCAACTTAAAAAATTCACTGTTTTCAGCTACTTGAGCTAAAAATAAGCAATTCATATAAAGTTAAGTTTACAGATTGTTTAACATATTGACAAGTTGTATTTGCACAGGCAGGGAATATAGAACTTTACACCAATCCAATAAAAGTTATAATATGGGGATAAAAAACTTGGGTTAGCAGTTTGGATTTTTGTAAATTACTTTATCCAAAATAAATTATAATAAACCATACTTCAAAAAAATATTTTAAATTTCAATATTTTAAATTAGTTTATTTACTCTGTAGGTAAGTTGACAAGACAAATCATACAAAATGGTTCTAAGTTCTATCAGTACAAAATTGTTTCTGCCTTCAACTGGTTACTTTGACTCTTTCACCAGGTGCTCTGACTTTTGAACCAACCTCAACCATTTTGGGCTTGTTATGGTTTTCATGCTATAACTTTTAAATTAGTAAGCATATGTTCAAAAAATTTGGCATATTATCAGTAAACATTACAATGCTTACATACACAAAATATATATATTTTTTTTTTATTAAGTCTTGAGGTTTGTTAAGCGATGTTTTTCTCATGATTATTTTTTCTTTTCATATGTCTCCTATCCAAATGCAAAGTAATATTCATTTTAAAATTAAAAATACTTTTATGCATCAGAAAATTTTCAAATTTCACATGCAAAATCTTTATAATGTCCAAATGGTTATCAAATGTTTCTTTAAAAAAAACTTTATATTTTATCTACTATTTTCATTAAGAAATCTCTGTACAGGTTTAGTAGATTTGACTGATCTTGGCACCACTATAAAAAATTAGGAAATAAATATAAATTATGCCTCATTTGTTCCAGAATGAACACCAATTACAACATGAAAACATAAATGTTTAGAACTAAATAGCTTAAATCTCATAACATTATACATTTAAATATATATTTATTATTTTTATTATATTGACCTTTCACCTGTGCCTCACTAACAATACAAAAGTTACAATGACATGGCACAGATGCTCTGATGTTCCAGTATTCAATAATATAAAACTGACCTTTAGTCTTTACAAAGTGACCTGTCTTGGCTGTGTTTTAGTAGACTAGTATTTTGTAAAATACAGTCACATTTCCATTATTATACATTATATATGTATATAGATTATTACTAATTAAAAATAAGTTCTTAAACTTATTTTTCTTAAAATATAGAACAGTAAATAAAGAAGTAAAGCAAACAATTATCTCTTCTAATTACAATCTTTGTACTAAGTTGCTAAGCCTTATAAAGTTTTGTACATGGAGGATATGAAATAATTTTCTTTAGGTTTTACATATAAAGTTGAATAACCAAAAAATAATAAATTATTATACTGATACCACAGAATTCCACTATAACTTAGTAACTAAGCTGTATTTCAATCTAAAAAAATATGAAATTTCGAGCGGACTACAGACACAACCTACCTCCTTGAAATCTTGGTTCGAAAAAATGAGATGACATACTAACACATGAAAATAGCTGGGAAAACCACTAAGGGTACATTCTAAGCTGTCGATTGGTTATTCACGTGTCATATATTGAAGTAAGTGTATATAAGGGACTGTTTCCAAAAATGGAAAGGGGTGAGCAGGGCCACTGTGTTTGATTCAGTACATGAGTGATATATCAGCAAATAGAAAAGTAGTTCAATAAAATTTTGAATGCGAGTTCAACAAGCGCGATGACGTGGCCTTTGACCCATGACCTGCCTAGAGAGGGTTAACAAAGACAAAAATGAACTAAGATTGTACGCTGTCAAAGATTCATACAATGGAATATACTTATCTGCAGCCACAGATGTATGTAATTGTGCAATTTCCTAACATATCATAAACTATGAAATCGGTGGCATATATTTATGCATCCAGCAGATGTGAAACAAGTTACCCTAAAATACTGAAATCTAATAAGAGAATAATGCTTCTGATAAAATATGTGGTGTACAAAGCTTACCATATGTTTCCTAGCCCTTCAATTACTAAATACATCTCCAAAATTTCTATTTGATTACTTTTGTTCTTAATATAGAAAGTCAGGCAAAGGAGCCACTAGGTTTCTCACTTTAGTTATTTATGAAATTGGGTCAATGACCAAGGGCATCACATGTGCTCCCCTTTAGGAAAGATTTCTGTAGCATGAGACATGCTATAGAGAGAGTGATTGTTTCTGGTAGTAAATCAGATGATGCCCCAAGAGGTCTGGCATTGTTTGTGTATATAATATCAGGTTCTCTCAGACTGTGTATGTGTGTGTGTGTGTGTGGGGGGGGGGGGGTAGTGAATCTGAGAATACCATACACATGCAAAGATATTCTACAGAGTCCAACAATTCATGTTAACTAAAACTTGATACAACTTCTTAGGGAGATAAAAACTGCTCTACCCTACTTTAACTTTTAAACTTGACTCATATTGAAATAAAAGTATTGAAAGACAATGAATAAAAGTTAAACATCTCTCTCCAGTTAGAAATACATGACAAACATTTGTCTTTTTAACTTTAACTTTGATTGTGTTCAGTCTCTTTATGTCAGACTCAGTCAAAGTCACACCTCTGCTCCAGAATACAGTTTCTGGTGAATCTCTCATTATTCTGAGGCTCCTACCCATTTACTCTTAAGGAAATCAGTGAATTTGAGAATACAATACACGCAAAGACATACTTCACTTGGATAGGAACCTATTTTCTTGAATCTTTATTCATGCACAAAGAAATAAGCTTGTAGAGTGACTGTCATGCATGAATAGAAATCACAAAAGGTGAAGAAATACAACGATTACAAAACATTAAGCCTGAAAGCTTTCATAAGAAAGACATGCCATTCTTAGGAGTAAGCTTGGAAGGAAAGTACACTGAACAATAAAAGTTCTAACCTTCCAAAAGCACTTGGGTTATCGCTACTTAGTCTCTTGTTTAGTGACAGATAGCACATTATTACTCTTAAACCTTTAGCAAAGATGAGCAGTGCTTGAGACAGTGACTATGCGCACTCAATGTAAGTTCAGAATATCTTTAGAAATGTGCATCAGGTCTAAAGTTCAAGTTAGATATTATTATTACAGAAGGCAATAAATGCAAGATTTTACTAATTTGTTTAGGAGTATAACACAATTTTAGTACACCAAAACAGTCAATATAACTACAGTGTGTGTGTAATTTTGGTAGAGTCCTCACAAATAGACTGATAAGAAATACAATTAAAGAAAGTCTTGATATGCTATTCTAAATAAGCTTAGTAAAAGTACTAGGAGAATGATCAGACCTTACAACAACCATCTTTACTAAAGAGATGTTTTCCTTTCTCCATCTCATAATAGGCCTTTCTGAGGTTCAATGTTCTTATAGGATTTTTGGTAGAATCTTGAAACACAACACACTTTGACTCACAATTTCTAATTCAAAGTATTAGATAACAACCACTACCAACCTTTCACTTAAACATATACACTAGAGACAAATTATTTCATAAAAAGAGTGACAAAAATATAGACAGGCAAATTCTGTTTACTTTTTTTCATGACACAATGCTTACAGAATAAATGACACAACTCAATGTTATGAAAATGCTCTGCAATAACTGATTAAATGCAAGCTGTGATGATTTCCAGTAAAATTCCTCCTTTTATGAAAACTAAATGGCATTAGTTTACTGTAAACTCAGAAAGTGCACATGAAAAAAAACTTAATTCATAACCCAAAAATTGTCTAGGCAAGTATATAAAATGGATCACTTCTAGTCCAAGACAAAGAAGTGAAAAATTATACTTGTTCACCTAAGTAAAGTACCAGAAGAAACATACAGAAATGTAGACAATGTCATAAGAAGGAAGAGTGTAGAAGCATGTTCAATTTGTGAAGATTTTTTAATGTCCATTGAATATAACTTAAAGTCTGTCTTTTTATATGTACTGTTTTGTTAAATATGATTAGCTAATAGAAGATCCAATTATAAACAAGGATATAACACTCACTTATTTGAAATGGATAAATCACAGTAAATTCCTGTGGGGATATGATGGAACTTTAAAATAGGTACTCGAGCTTGTAGTATTCGTTGAACTTGAGCAATCCCAGGGACAAAATTCTGAAGAATGTCTCCAACAGTTTCAAGTGTTCTTTGTGTTTGCATGCGGTCATTTGCAAAGGCTTTTTTTGTTTGAAACTTCAAGCGACTTGTTGGATTATTCTGAAATAAATGGATAAAAATATCTAAATCAAGGTTAAAAACATACAATACTTCTATTAAATAAAGTAATTTTCCAAACCTTGCTCCACAAACCAGATCAATGCTGTAAGCATTTCATACCTGACTATACTACAAATTTCCTTTCCTTTCACCAAAGGTAAAATTAAAAACATAATCTGTGATGTAGTGGCATAATGCATTCTTTGGTTTGCTGCACCCTCTACCATGGAGTGCAGTTTTGCCTATTCAAGGCTAATTAGCACAACTTGGGTCAGCAAACCAAAGAAATACAGTTATGGTGAAGTGAATATAATGTTTATGGGGTTTTTAAATTGCCAAATAGTAAAACAAATTAATTTAGGTATCTGAATAATATTGTCATTGTCTTAATTTATTATTCAGTATTCTATATTGGAACAACTGTTTAATGATTATATTACAAATTATTTTTCATCAAAAGTAAAATTGAAAATACAATCTGTGATGTAGAGGCTTAATACATTATTTTATGTGCCACATCTTCTGCTTGGCCTGCAGTTTTGCCTATTCAAGGCTCATCAGCACAGCTTGTGTCAACAAACCAAAGAAATACAGTAAGTCTTCTTATAATGGTGATGTGATGTTGACCAAGGGAAGACCCAGTTTAATAAACTCATAAATACAGTGAAATGCAACTGTTCAGCATTCATAAGCAAGTACACACAAACACACTGTGTTCTGCGTCTTCAAGTTATAAAGATTGTTTTCATTGTGTGTTTCACATTATGTCCAGTCCTTTGCTCAAACTCAGTTTTAGCTAAATTTGGTATCACTTGATAATATATTCTGCATATCCCCATGCTATATAGTGAACATACCTAATATTCTTTGAGGAAATCAGCATCACCTGAAAATATCACACACTGAAAAAGAACAACAAACAACAAAAGAAAAAAAGCTGTCACAAAGAATTAAATGTTTCTTTGAGTAAAATTTGATTGGGAAAAAAAAATTAAGTTTATTTTTCTATAAGTTACAGAACATCATAACAATTACAAGTTTTCATTATATGCAGTGCTTGAAAGTTACTTTTTTGCCTACTGGCAAATGTTTGCCAGTTACTTCAAATAATACTAACAGAAGTGCCAGCCTGGTTGGCAAAAGGAAGAAAAATATAATCTTTATAAAAACATCAACATTACCATTTTTCCAAGGCATCATTGATGGCTAAAAATGATCTGTTATTGCCATTTGTCAGATCGGCTTTAGTTTTCATATTATTTAGCGACCGCCCTTTCAAATGTCCATTCTGACATGTATGCTAGTACTCACTATCAATATAGTATTTCTTATCTTGTAAGAAAGAAGTGTTAATTGTGCACTTTCCAGCTAGGCATAGTGTTGTCATTTTGTTGAAACAACAAGAAGGCTTTGCTGATTTCTTCAAAAACACTAAAGTAGAAACATGTAAAAAACAAATTTAAAATCTTCTAGTTCTTTTAAGAAGTTCATGCACTGTTACCTTGTTTTTGCCAAGCTTCTTGTTGTCCTCAGAAAAGTTTCCATATGCACAATTACGTTTAACTAGAAGTTTGGAAAGTGCAATTTCAATTTGCTTATGTTGTATCAACCTCAGATGAGGGATGTTTTCTTTATTTCTGCTACCTTATTTTCTTCTCTAATTATATTTTTTGAAGACCATGTAGATGCATGTGAACTGCTGTTCTTGTGCATGATACTTTAAAAATCTCCTTCAGGGGGAGTTTCAACCTATGGGCCATGCAGTGTATTTGAACAAGCCAAGGTACATCTGTGCCCAACAGTGTCCACACCACATCTAATGAAAAACTTACACCTGCACCTTCTACTCCAAATCCTACCATCGTAAATGTAAATGCACTGGAAGAAAGAAAGAAAAGGTAATGTCAACTATAGTGCTTCTACAGTATCCACACACATTGTGTTTTTACATCCATAAGCTTAATGAATGAAATATGGGTATTAAGTTTTTATTATCTGCACAATTTATTTTCCTCCGTCATTTCTATCTGTGCTATCATCAAGAAAAGTTAACAACGTGTAGTTATTATGATATATAATTGTGCAGTGATGAATGTTCTACATTCTTTATCATTGCAGTATGTTCTGTCCATCGAGATGCTATTGTCTATCTGGAGTTCTAAAGCTTAGGGAAGTAGAAAATGTCTCCAATTTTTGAAGGTTTTTTTTTCCCCATCTCTTGGCTCATTTTTTTCCTAGCTTCTACTACATAATGAGCTGAAAGTGCACTTATGTCACCATCATATATCATATGCTGTTCTTCTGAGTCCTTTTTAACATTCTTTGTACCAACAACATACTGTGCTCATTATTTAATTTCTGTAGTGCATACTGGTATATAAAAGACATTTTAGTACAAGAAATAAATGACCTTATAACACCAAATTTGTTATTTTTCTTTAATACGGCACTCCACATACCATTATAGTTTCTGTTTTAGTGTAATGCTCCTGAAGAAGCTGTAAGACAAAACGTTAAGTGTCCAATTAAAGAAAAATAACAAACTTGGTGTTATATAGAAATATATTTCTCGTACTAAAAGATACTGTGTTGTTTTGTTGAGCCAGTATTAATGATATACTTTGCACAAGCAGTTTGATGGTATCTTGCACATCTGTCTTTGTGTCTTGTTGCATCCAATCAGTTTTCAAGTTTGCAACCCAATTGTGGAAACTTTCCACGCAGCATGGAACTTTCCTAGAAGCAGTTGTGGGGTGAGATTCTACTTGTGGAACTTAAGGACCTACAACAGTTTCTAAAACTGTGGCTGACAGTAGTACTGGTTCATCAGATGTTGATAGAATGTTTGAAGCACTGGCTGAAGTTGGTTCAACTATAATGAAGAAACAAATATAAGGAAATAAGTAAATTTTCAAATTAAATAAGTAGAAAATTAATTATGAAAGTGAACACAATATAAAAATAAAAATAAGGCATGGATTTAGTCAGACCTATATAGTCAGAAGTAGGCCTACAATTTAATATTTGAAAAATGTATAGATCAATATACTCACATGTTATGGCAGGTTTCTTTCCAGTAACTGAAAATCGAAATGCCCAAAGAACTGACTTGACATCTTCTGAGTCATTTTTGTTTCTTTTCTGTGAGGCTGTGTTCATTATTCTTGACAAACCAAGTGAAACAAACAATTCACAAGTTCTGTGCCTTTATAAAAGCCAGTTTCCAAAAGTTAACTTTTAAAATATAGAAATATAATTTTGCAGAAACTGGCTTTTCGAGAATATAACTAAACAGTTGATGTGAATTATTATTTTCTGGAGCCAAATCCAGTCTTTTACATTCTCAGAGTCAAAGCAATAAATCAAACTTTTTAAATATTATCTAATTTCTAGTTGTAAAAACACACACACACACATATATATAATTTGATTGTGAATTTATAATATTTTAGAAAACAGAGCTTTTGAAATTCTGAAATTGTTTAGAAACAACAATAAAAATACTTAATCTTAGACTTTCTACTTGTTTCATTTTATATATAACCAATAACATTTCACCTACTTCAGATTCATTATTTATATATTTTGATACTTTATTCTGACAATTGAAAACTGACAAAGTCTTACTGGTGACTAATGACCCAAACCTTTAAGATGGCATCAGTGTTGTCATTATCTGGTGTCATAGCATGATATTTCGATAATATTTTCAGGCAAGATTAGTTTATATCTAATATTTATAGTCTGTTTTTCTACAACAACGAAGCTCTTGTATTTGTGTTTATTGTTTGAATACTGAAACTAAATAATACATTCAGTAAAAAAAATCCATACCGGAATAGTTTCTGTCACATACACTATAAAATTTTAGATCTATGTTTGTGATAAATGTGTTTGCAGCCAGTTTTTTAATATAATTTTACTACTGTTTCCAATTATATTGACTGAATATTCATAATCATGCCTGGAATATCAACTTTGCAAAAAATGCCAGTGCCTTGTAATAGTAACTGGTTAAACAGTAGAACTCACTGGCATTTAGCCAGCTGGGCAAGACTAAATTTGAAATTAAAGAATAGGTTGAATAATTGCCAAGTTTTTATATTTCTATTTAAAGAAGGATGACGTTTCAAGCTAGTGCTCTTCATCAGATCATACAGCTTAAAACCAATATGTTGTAAGCTTTACAATCTGATGAAGAGCGCTAGCTTGAAATGTCATCCTTCTTTAAAATAAAAATATAAAAAACATGTTGATTGTTCAATCCCTTCTTTAATTTCAATATCTTTGTCATATATGTAGTTTTAATTATATGTTTCTTTTTATAAGACTAATATTGAGCCATGCCTAAAATGTCGATTAACTCTCTCAATATGGGCTCGGTAAATTTGACCAACCATGTAACCTTTTTGTACTCGTTTAGTCTTCATAGATTTAATACTTATAATTCTCAATATAGTGTGTATATCTTCAGGAAATCTGGCAGTCTTTCAGTTCATATTACAAATCTTTCACACATAAAAAATAATATTTTTTAGTGAAGCATTTTAGATAAAATAAAATACAGATTTGTCCATTAACATATTGAGTATTTGTTTTGAATAGTCCATGTGCAAAGTAATTTTCATGTTAAAATCAAAAATACTTTTCCTCATCTAACAAAATCTCAAATTTCCTTTCTGTAATCCTTGAAACCTCTTAAATACATTTTAAACGTTTTTTTTCACTAAAACTTTATAGTTTATCTGTTATTTTCTCTACCCTATCTCAAAACGGAATTGGTCAATTTGACAACCTCATAACCACTAAAAAAAATCGAAATAAACATAAATGACCCTTTTTTTCTTTCTAAAATACACT